TCAAAGGGAAAGAGCGTCGGCTGGGACGAAAATGTTGCATAATAGGTCCGCGTGGGCTTCTGGCGTACATGACCATCAGACTTTTGCATGAAGCCTGATTCGGTGAATGCTCGTTCGCCGAAAAGTGCGAATTCGAAGGAGGTGTGAAAAGGATTATGAAATCTGCAAAATGCTTTTTCTTTTGTGTTTGTGATAAAATTGAGTATTTTTCATGCTCGCGTGCACAGAATTTCACATTCAAGCTGAACGAAGTCTATATGTGAATGTAGAACATTCTTACAAAATTTCAGCCTCGCACCTGGTCTGTTGAGCAAAATAGTTGCTTCAAATATCTTTGAAGTGCCTTAAGTCGTGGTGCAAGTGCAAATCGACACTAAATTTAGGTACACGATTTTCCACATGAACGATAAATATTCTGCAAAATACCAGCTACTGTTTTCGGTTTAGTTTTTGAGTTAGCACATTGTCAACTGCCAACTTTGATGTGGCCGCACGCGCAGTATATGCGTGCGCAATAGCTGAATTTGAAATCTTTAGTTCGCACATTCAGTCACATGCACTATCTCTGCAAAGTTTCAGCTTTCTACTTTATCTGGTTCGTGAAGTCGTTTCCCGCCAAAGAAATTTGTATATTTTTCTTGAGGGTCTGTACTAGAGACTTAGGCGCATATGAGCGAAGATTTTAAACGGAAGAGTGGCGTACGGGGTAGGAATATGCCTCCCACAGTCCCAGCCTACCAGCTTTCCTGGTTGCTAAGTTGAAAGTGGGTGACAGAGTTCACTCGCTTCCGAACACACACACACACACGGACAGCCTCTCGACAATATGCGCTTTGTGCGCTGAAGCATAGACAGAAACGAAATGAAATATACTTAGAGGTTGAAACCGCCTCGCTACACAGCAAAAGCGCATAAAAATGCAAAGAAAGCTCCTAAAAAAGGCACTGAAGACGTTGTTCCGGAAGATAAAAAAATGCGAGAACAGTTTCGAGCTTTTTAGGTGAAATTCCATCAGGCAAATTCATTTTATTCCTTTATTCACAATTGTTTTAAGGGTTATTTTAACCATCTTTCGTGGATTCTCTTTGAATGTTCCGGAAGCAAGAAGTCATCGGATTGAACAGTTCCGACGGCAGAAACGAAAGGAAATGTACTCGAAAGTTGAAACTGTGCGTCGCTGGGAATGGGATTATGCTCTAACACCAACCTATGATCAATTCTTGTTTGATGAATACCTCGATATTGGTAAGGGCTGTATTGAATTAATAAGATACATCAAACTTTTTATGCGTTTTTATGCGTTTTTTGCAGCAATGCAATGCGAAAAACGCATATTGACGAGAGGT